GTGGAGAGCTGCAGGATGGCCATGGGGGGACCTTGGCAAGCCAGGTTTGTCTCCTGCCACCGCTGGAAGGTGCTGGGGGCAGCTGGATGCTGCAGAGCGGGAGCAGGCGAGGGCTCCCAGCTCCCCCGGGAGTCACGCRCTGGTCTCAGCCCTGCAGCCCGGGCATGCGGGCAGCTGCCCCACGGCGGCTCCCAGCTGCTGGCCCCGCAGCCCCAGCGGCTCGGCCGCGAGCAGCCGGCTGTGCCGAGTGAGCACCCATGGGAGACCGGGCGGCACCAGGGTGGCCGTCTGAGGCAGGAGCCAGGACGTGACAGGCGGCTCCAGCCCGAGCCTCCAATAGCAAGATTGATTTCCTTGCGCCCCCGCAACGGCCCTCAGCCAAGGCAGACTTCGCCCTGGCTTTAATGAGCAAGCACTGCTAAATTAAAGCACAGGGTCATCACCGCAGGCGCCGCAGCAGCGCTAGCTGAAGCCGTTTCAACTCAAGGAGCAGCCCCCTCACTTGCGGGGGGAAAGGGAGGTTGGGCAAGGGGGCCTTCCCAGGGCAGGGGAGCAGGGAGAGGGCCCTGGGGTGCCAGCCTGGTTGGGAGCAGCTTCCTCTGGAGCTATCGTGGGGCCCTGAGCACCCTCMGAGCACTAGGTGCTCCCCTGGATGCAGTGTGGCTGTGACACCTCTCCCTGCACTCCCCAAAATAGAGGGCRTTTCCAAAGGGTGGCAGGTGCTGCTGGCACCAGGCTGTGGGGCACCCTGGGAGGAGCTGCTGGATGGGTGTCCCAGCCTGTGGGTGCTGCTGTGCTGTCCTCCCTGGGTGCTGCAGTACCCACAAGCGATGCTGATCCCAGCACATCCAGCCTCTGCTGGGGATCCTTTGCCCTGGTCTGGGCCATGAGGTCTGGACCAAGTTGGTCCATGTGCACTGCAGAGATGTCCACGGGCTCCCCATAGCCACTTAGGAGCAGGGAAGGGGTCCACACAGCTCCAGCATCAAGCCTGGGAGTGCTGCTCCCCTCCCCTACACACCACCCTTGATATAAAYTGGATCTCTTCAGAATGGCCCCTGGACTGGGACCCAAGAGACTCCAGGTCACCATTCATAGCAGCTGCTTTCTCCTCATATCTTGAGAGCAATGTATCAGGTCCCCCAAACCATGTGTGAACCCCAAGACCAATGCATTCATGGGAGCCTTGTGCTGTCATGCTGCAAATATCCAGTGAGCCCGGTGGGAAGGAAATGTTTCCCTGGAGCTGCTGCCCTCATCGTTATCTTCTCCACCTCCAGACTAGTGTCTGGAGGAGGATGCTGATGCCCTCATCCCTCCTGGGGATGGACGGAAAGGGTCCTCAGCGAGGAGAGAGTCTCTCTCGCCAGCTTTTACTGCCCAGGTCYCATCCAGGCAGGAGATGCAGTGAACACGGAGCCGATGGAAAGTGCCCTCTCCTGGCCTTGCGTTCACCACTGCAGCGTGTCAGCAACTCATAATCATCCAGCGATTAATTAGYGGATCCTAGAGCATCTGCCCCCGCTCTAGTGCTGCTCTCCCAAGCGGAAAACCAGCTTCAGAGGCGCCGCTAAGCTGYGGCCTCCGCCTCACGGGGTTAGAGGGAGCATTGGTCTCAGCGGGGTCCCCCACTTGCCACAGGGACATCCCTGAGCTGGGAGCAGCATCTCCTGGTCCACATGTCCCCTTCCTGGGGACCCCGCACCCCAAGCCCCCTTCCCTGGGCACACTCCCCTCTCACCGCCCCCCTCCTGCCCCACAGCTCCCGGCCAGGCCACCACTCTCCACGCCTTGCAAAACCGCAAGGATTTCAAACCCTGGAGTCTTTTTGCCTCCTCCCACCCCATGTTTACAGCAGGGCAACACAGGGACAGCCCTCCCTGACGAACCCCCCGCCTCAGCACCCGGCAAAACGGCCCCACTTTCACACCAGGAGCGGGGCCCCAAACCACCCCGTGGGTTTTTATGGCCAGAGGGCAGCCCGGCCCACGGCAAAGCGGCCACCCCGCTACCCTCCTCCCGGGGCCCCGCACAGAGCACGAGCAGCCGGGCGCGTACAGGAGATAACTTTATTGAATCCAATGGTGTTAGACAGACGACCGAGAAGAGACATGCCGTTCAGTGCGGGCAGCGTGGGCAGCAGGAGCTCACTTGGTGCAGGGCTGGATTTGTTGCTGTCTTTAGTGATATCCTCAAGCCTATTTTTCTTTTTCTTTTTTTTTTCCTGGGCTTTGCTTTAAGACTTTATCATTTTGTTAAAATTGCATTCAAGTAAAAACAACGGTTGGGGGGGGGGGAGAAGAGTCCAGATGGTGTTTGTTCCCTATGATTGTTCCCGCAGTTATGTACAACATCAGACCAGGGGGATCGGGGGGGTTTATTTCTGTCGCCATCAGGTAGAAAATGGAGCGAGTTTTACAAACGTGGAGAAGGCCAGGACAAAGCAAAGACAGACAGGCGAGAGAGCAGTAGAAATCTGGACCAAAAATCTTAAAGAGAAATTTAAAAAGTGCTATAAAACCCCTCGGAAGGAATACCATGCAGTTAAGAAACACAAAACCCAGTCAATTACACAGATCATCTAAAATGGGGATTTTTGTCCATTTCGTCATTTATTTAATTAAAAAAAGGTTGTTGTTTTCTTTTTTAATAGAAAAAAGCTAAAATTGTAAGGTTCGGGCCACCGGGCAGCAGTAGCTAGAGGATGAAGGAGAGGAAGGCGCCAGCCTGCTCCGGCTCTGGCCCCTGGAAGGCTCCCGGAGCTCAGTGGGCATCGCTGCGGACAATGAGGGGACGAGCTAGTGCAATCTCGGGGCCCCCTGGCCTGGTGGCACTGGGCCCACGCGAGCCAGGGGCCTCAGCCCGTCCTGGGGCTCGATGCAGCGCAGGAGGAAGCGCCCAGGCTGGGTAACCCCTGTGCCATGTGAAAGCCCGAGGGGACAMGCGGTGGCATCGCCTCCGTGTCCCCTCCAGGAGCTCGGCGATTCCTCCTGCGCCTCGGGCGGGCTCTGCGGCACCGGGAGGAGCACGTARAGACGGAGCCCACCCGAGCCGGAGCCAACCCGAGCCCTGGGACCAGGGGAGCTGGAGAGCGGGGAGGGGGGAACCAGCRCGGGGCAGGGGGCTGCCCGGGGCCRAGGCCGCTGCCAGAAGGCCTGGTTGGTGTTTCAGCGGCTAGCAGAGGTGCCGGGGCAGCCCCGGTGCCCGCGGAGGGGAGAGGGGCTGGAGGGGAGGGCAGGCGCCCACCGCRGCCTCCAGCGACTGCTGGGCGAGTGTCTCGTACAATCAGAACAGAATCAGCACGGCACGGTCATCACAGAGAGTACAAAAAAAAAGGCCAAAGAAAGGAGGGACGCGCAGGGCCGGGCCCCACCAACTCACAGGGGTCGTTCGAGCACAGATCTATTTACAGCGAGTCCTTAAGCCTATGGCGGCAACGCAAGAGAAGGCAAACGACAAGCGCTAGCGGCCAACGCCACGGACATCCCCGCGCGCCGGGACCGCCTGGGCCCGCGGCTGGGCGGCCGTGACGCAAAGCGACACAGGGGGAGGCCACGAGGCCGAGGCCGCTGCCTGTGCTCCCCTCGTGCCCCCATGTGGGCTCGGAGAGGCAGCCAGCGGCGCCGGGGCCGGCAGCGAGGCCGGGGCACGGACAGGAGTGAGCACCATGGGTGGCAGCGCGGCCGGGCGAGAGGTGCCGGCAGCTCGAGAGCACCAAGGGCGGAGGCGGCGGCCTCCGCCCGGCGCCGGCGGGAGGCAGGGCCTGCAGGAGGCAGGGCCTGCAGGAGGCGGCCGGCAAGGAGGGCTGCGGGGCGGCCTCGCAAGCTGCGGGTGCCTGGCGCGGCGGCAGTCGGGGCAGCACCGGGGCTGGCCGGCCCAAGCCCAGGGCCCTGCTGCCGCCCTTGTGGGAGGCCCTGTCCAGGCCTCGGGGAGGCCGCGGCCGTGCCCGCCCAGGCCCCGTGTCCCCCTCCCCGCAGGGGTTAAGGCAGCGCGGCAGCACCGCTGCTGAGCCCCCTCTGCTTGCAGGGGACCCGCAGCCACAGCGGGGCACCCAGGGTGCTCCCAGGCCCAGCTTGGCGGCCCGTGGCCCCCAACCCAGGYCCCCAAGGGGAGAGGTCACCACCAGGAATGGGGGTCTGGCAGGAGACCCCCTGGCCCCAGCTCTGCCTTGTGCTTTGGGGGAGACGGGAGCCRCAGGCCGGGGGCTGCTCCAAGTGCATCCCGCTGTTCTTGGCCCCTGAGTCCCATCCCAGCCAAGCCRTAAGACTCCCAGGACAGGGAATTGGGGACTGGAGAGTGTCCAGTGAGCACCAGTATTGTGACAGAGGTGGTTTGAGTGGTGGAAGTGACGGCTGCAAAAGAAACCAAGAGGAGAGCGAGCCGCTCGAGGGGAAGCGACGGGCACCAGGCCGCGGGCTCCAGGCCGGCAGAGAACAAAGAACCAGAATAAAAAAGTTAAAATAAAAGGGACCAAACCAAAGTCTGGACTCGGCCAACAGAAAAAGGGGAAGGGGGTAAATAAAATAACCGRAGGAGGGGTTTAATTGGGCTGCCGGGGTTGCAGCGGCTGCCATGCAGGTTAAACAGGGAACACGCGGAGAGGGCAGTGAGCACCGGCGCTTGCCCACCGGGCGCTGCTGGAGCGCGGGCGGCTCCTTCGCTGCAGGCCTGGGCAGAGCAGGCAGCAGAGCCACGGGCACCAGCACAGGGTGCCCACTGCTCCCCCTGCCCACGCTCCTCCTGCGGCCCCGGCTTCGCCCCACGCGGCTCCCGCGGGGTCCCTGCCCCACGCAAGGGCTTCCTGCAGCTTAGCAGCGGTCACCCCTGCCCCAAAGCCCCAGAGTTTGCGAGAGAGACAGGAAAAAGGTAAAAATAACCCAAAAGAAAAACCAGGAGTCTCCTACCCCCAGAGGCGGGAGGGGAGACGGCACCTCGCGCTCGCCCACGCACGAGCCCACGAGCCGAGCTTCCCCACGCCGGGGCCGCGCCAGAGCCCCCGGCCTCTGCGCCCGCGCCAGCCCCGTGCTCCAGGATACCGAAGGAAAAGGGCAGCCCGGCGGGAGCGGCGCCCAGCGTCCGGCTGCCGTGCGCCTGGGCCGGCACGTCTGCGCCTCACAGAGTCGACTGCAGGTCGGGATCCACCATGGTCTCTCGGTCCGGAGACTCGATGTAGTTGGCGGCCTCCTGGAGCTTCAGCAGCATGGCCATCTGCGGGGACAGGGCGCGGGGGCCGCCTGAGCCTCGCCTCAGCCTCCACCCGTGAGCAGCGAGGCACTGGGACAAGAGGCTTGGGCCCTCCAAGCAGGGTGAGCATCCTCCAGCACCCAGAAGAAGTAGGGGATGAAACCCCGCTCCCCAGAGAGCACCCAGCCCTCCTTGCCCTCCTGTACTAACCCAGCTTCCCCGAGACTCCCTAGAGGCTAAAGCAAGGCCCAGGGCCACTGCAACCRCCCTTCCCGGTGCCAGGGTCCGGCCTGGCAGGCAGGCAGGATAGCTGAGAGTGCCCAGGCAGGCAGCAGCACCACGTGCAGCAGCCTGGTGCCCTCGGCAGCCCCTCTGCGCATGGCACACAGGGACAGGGCTGGTTAGTGTGCGCGCACGTAGCTCTGCTCAGGGAGACAATGCTTCACCCGTGCTGAGTCACGACGCGGCACACTGCCACCAGTGCCACCTCCTCCCAGGAGGGTCCTGCATCCCTAAATCTGGCTTCTTAAAAAAAAAAAAAAAAAAGCCAGATTTTTGATCCTGCTCTCTCGACCCGACCCGCAGTGCCCAGGACAAGCAGGACACGGCCATACCAGAGGGTCCGCGTCCAGGGAGCTGGGCGTCGTGTCTTTGACGGTGCGCTCCTCGGGGGGGGAAACGGTGCTGTGGGGCCCGATGGTGGGAGGGGGCAGGTGGTAGAGCTTGGACTGGTCCTGCTGCGCCGACGGCCAGGGCAGGGTGTCCCGCACCCACTCCACGGGGTCCTCCCAGGCCGCCTTCTGCCCATGGACCTGCAGGTGAGGAGCAAGAGGCAGCCAAGTTCATCACCACGGGCTGGAGCTCCATGTCACCATGTCCAAGCCAAGTGGCGCTACCTCCSACTGCACGGAGCGGGACATGGTGCAACATGTGGACACCCATGGTCCCAGCACCTTCCTCCTCCCATCCTCTCAGCCTGCTGCAYCAGCAGCTCCCCTCAGAGCTAGGCCCGGGGTTATGCCCCACCATGAGCCCTTCCAGGTACCTTGAGCCCGTCTTTAGCCCCTTCCTGCAGGTAGGGAATGATGGAGTTATTCCACAGGTCAATGAACCAGGTCCGGAAATCCTCAATTCCAATGGGGCAGGAGAGGAAGAAGCAGGGACCTGCAGAGAGAGAAGGCAAGGAGCAAAGATGGTGACTCTGTCCACCACTGGTCGGCCAAATCTGCGCCAGCTGCATCAGGGCAGCCCAGCCCTGCTGCCAGGCTCAGGACTGTGGAGGGCACCTTGGCCTCAATCACCTCCTGGGAGCAGCACCCAGCACAGGATCTGCTCAAARTGTGGGAGCAGAAAATGATGTCCTAGCAAACAACGGGGCTCCCAATATCCATCTATGCCCCCAAGAGTGYGGTGAGGCAGAAGGAATCCAGTCTGGGAAAATCTGACTCCTCTGAGGCGAAGGAAGGATGACAAAAACAGAGGCAACTTTCATAGAATCACAGAATCCTTAAGGTTGGAAGGGACCTCTAGAGGTCATCTCGCCCAACCTCTCTGCACAGACAGGGTCACTTAGAGCTTGTGGCACAGGGCTGCGTCCAAGCGGGTTTGGAAGATCTCCAGAGAAGGAGACGCCACAACCTCCCTGGGCAGCCCGTTCCAGTGCTCTGTCACCCTCACTGTCAAGAAATGTTTCCTGAAGTTCCTGCAGAACTTTTGGTACTTCAGTTTGTGGCTGTTTCCTCTAGTTCCATCAGTGGYCACCACTGAAAAGAGGCCAGCCCCAAACTTTGGCCAACACCACAGTGATGGGTCCCATGGGACAGGGGGCTGAGCGACCTGGGTGGTATCGCAGTGACTGGCCGTGGTTGCATGGGCTGGAACACGAGGCTCCCCCATCTCCTTCGAGGGGTCTCCCCTCACCCCATGTCCCTCCCATGGCCTCCCAGCAGCTTGGGAAGGACGAGGGAGGCGTGCGGAGCCGTACCGATGAGGAAGTCGGACGTGCTGTGTTTCTCCAGGAAGGTGTGCAAGTGGTACCAGAGCTTGGGCACCCAGTCCAGCACCCGCAGCAGCTCCTCCTTGTTGGCATTGACGTCCGTGTCCGACTCGAGCAGCTTCCGCCGCAGGTAGCGCACCAGGAAGCCGTTGGCTGGCTCCACGTTGTTCGAGAAGGTCAGCATCCTGCGGGGAAGACACGGCYGCTCAGGGCTGGCTCTCCCCCTACCCAGGGAATGGGTCCCAGGACTGCCCTGGGGCAGGGCCCCTGGGCTCCCAGCCCCGTAAGGATGCTCCCCATCCCCACTGGAGAGGTCTCATCCACACCTGAAGCTGAGATGGAGGCCGTGGTTCGGGGTCATCTTCACAGGCTGGTTGGTGGTGCCGATGACGTAGGGGCTGTAAGAGAGCAAGACAGGATCCATGAGAAAGAGCACCCTGGGCATTCCCCACCCACAGCAGACCCTCGGGGCCACCCAGGGCAGCCGGCCTTAGTGTAGTGGACGCATGGGACCCTGCAGCCCCGTCCCTACGAGCCCAGCGAGAGCACATGCACCTGGGAGGCCGCAGAGGAGCGGTGGGCTCAGCGGGGCACTCACCATTTGTGGTACTTGCAGGTGAGCGCACCGTTGACGAGCTCGCTGATGGAGCCCGCCTCACCGAGGTCGTCCAGGAGGATGACGAGCGGCACATCCGCCGTGCCCGTCTCCCGGTCGATCTGGTTAGCCAGGTTGGAGAGGTACAGCTGCAGGTCCTGCAACAAGGGGCACCAAGYGTCACGTGTGGCACCAAGCCATGGCATCGGCACCAATGGAAAGAGCCCCGGCTCCCGCGCRCCCTCACCTTGCAGGACTGCTGGTGCATGTTGAAGGTGCTCACGATGCCCTCGGTGACGTCCCGGCCCGAGCGCTCCACCAGGTACTCGGCCAGGCGGTTGGTCAGGTAGGTCTTGCCGGTGCCGCTGGGGCCCGAGAGGATGAGCCGCCGGTGCTTCAGCAGGAGGCTGATGTAGTGCTGCATCATGGGCTTGGGGATGAGCGTCTCGAACACCAGGCTGTCCACGCACTTCTCCTTCAAGCCTGAAAGCAGAGAAGGGCTGAGGGTCCTGCTCTCCCTGCACAGCACTGCAGAGAAGGGAGTCCTATGGGTGGATACAGCCCTCTGGTCCGTGGAGCCACACGGACCTTTGAGTGTCACGGCGATGCTGGTCAGGCCCCGGCGGCACAGCGGCAGCTCCGGCGGCTCCGTGTCCAGGACCCGCTTGATGTGGCTGATGCTGTAACCGTAGACGGACTCRGTGCTGAGCCCCAGGGTGGAAGCAGGATCCATTTTGGTGATATAATCCTATGCAGAAAAAGGCAGGACGTCAGCACACTCAGGCCCCGCTAGCAGAAGACAAAAAGGTGCTGAGCACCTCGACGAGGGCCCAGGGAGGAACCAGGCTGTGCAGTGCCAGGCACAGTAGAGAAGATGGAAGGAGCAGGGGTTTGAGAGGCCCTTTTGCTCTCACCTTGAAGACCTGGCAGACAGCCTCATCCAGCATCTTCCAGTCAATCTTTCCGCTCACCTTGGTCCAGCCCAGGAAAAACTCCTGCTGCTTGAGGTCCTATGGGCCAAGGCAGAGGTGTGCAGAGTTGGAGCACTGTATCCAGCCCAGGGCAGGTGTCCTCTGCCCCTTGTGCTGGGACACGGCTCCAGGACAGGTCAGGCTCCCCATCCAGCCTGCACTTACCCCTTTGATGATGTGCTGGGGCGGCATGCGCACCACGATCCTCAGTGTCAGCTCATCCTTCTGGGTGCCAGCGCTAACGGCATCCATAGGGGACACATCTGGGGACAGAGCAGGGTCAGGCTGTGCCAGCGTGGTGCCGGGCCGCAGCACCTGACCATGCCCAGCCTGAGCTGCATCCTGTCACGGCCAGTGTGAAGCACCAGCCACCACGRCCAGCGTGACAGCACCAGCCGCGGCCAGCCTGCCAGGAACACCTGCCCACCAGACACCTCCTCCCGAGGACTTGGACCATGGGGAGACCCTCTGCACGGCCCTGTGCAGGACCCTGCACGGGGCAGCCAGCCCTGCAAGGGGTCCTCCCACCACAGCCCTCACATGCAACCCAYGCCCCAGCCCTCGGCCCAGCGGCTGCTCCGCCGGCCCCACCTGCGTCCGCCAGGCTGGGGCTGAAGGCATGGCCGAGGGCGAGACCCAGCGAGCGCCGCGGCGAGGAYGAGGCCGAACTGCTCGTGATGTGGCCAGGGATGGAGCCTGGCACCGACGAGGGCCCCGGAGCCACTTTGAGACGGTCGTTCTCGGCCTTCAGGAGATCCACCTCCAGCTGCAGGAGAAACGTGTTACAGCCCAGAAAGGAGGACTGGACGTTGGCAGCACAGGACCCGCAGACCACGGACACCAAAGAGCTGGGCTGTCAGCTCTGAGGTCCYTGTCTCCAGCCCAGGCTGTGGGCTACAAGATCAAGGATTAGCAATGGCCCCAGCCCTCACCTGCATGTTGTGCATGGTCTCCCGCAGCTGCTCCAGCTGATGGGCTGAGTTGAGGGCCTCCAGGCGGATGTCCGTCAGCTTCATCTCCTTCTCCCACAGCTCTGACCGCAGCTCTGATACCTCTTTCTTTTCTGGCTCCCCCTCACTGTGGGCCTGGAAGAGCCTGTGCCAGGGGAGACAGCGAAGTTTGCTCAGATTTGGGGCAGACATTTGCAGAGTGGAGCTGGGCATAGGGATTGGCCTTCCCCGCTCTGGGCCGCCTGGCCTGGACGCACGTACTCAGCCGTGTCGATGCCCACGGAGGAGGACGTGGAGGACTTGATGGAGGGCGAGGCAGTCTCCGTGGAGCCGTGCTGCAGCTTGGGCGAGGACGGGGCCGAAGAGTCCGGCGTGGCAATCTCCTCAATGTCCGAGTAGGACGAGGCCGACTTGGGCCCCTTCTTGATGCTGAAGGCCTTGTTGAAGGAGCTCCGCAGCTACAGGAGATAAAGGCCCGGTGAGGAACAGCCAACCTGCTTGTCCACAGCTCTGGCACCACCCYGTCCAGCCCCGAGGCAGGAGTGCGGCCCCATCCGCTCAGCACCAACAGAGTTCGACCCAGGACCAGCAACGCCACGTCCATCACCATGGCAGATGCAARCCCTGCCACCATCGCTGCCCAAGGAAGGCACCGGCCACCCCGCTCTGCTGACGCCTGCGGCACATGGCCCTTCACACAACCCTCTGCGCACACCTGGATGCCTGGATGGCATCACTCTGCATGGAGAGCCCGAGTCCCTGTGGAACTTCCCCAGCACCCACATTCGGGGTGTTTGGGGACCACCATGGTGCCCASGTCTATGGGGTAGGGCCAGCTCCAACCTCACATTTCCCTTAGAGCCACCATCCCAACAAGTAGGACTTTGGGGAAGAAGGTGCCACAAGGTGCCCAGGCACYGCAGAGCTGGGGTCCAAGTGCAAGGGGACAATTCCAGCCCTTCTTCTGCGCAGGGTCCTGGTGGCAGGCGCAGGCAGGAGGGCATGCAGCATGCACACTGCGCACGCACACACAGCACGGACATGGGAGCGGCAGGTGGAGGCCGGGAGGACGGACAGACACTGCACAGGGGCCAAACCGCAACACCAGCCTCGGCGGGAGGAGCAGGATGGACACCCCGGACTCACAGCACGTGCCCTGCAGCAGGACCAGGGCCTGCTCTGAGGGCAAGTGGGAGGAAAACTGGCCTGGGAGTGGGCAGGATCCAGCCCATCTCCTGGCAGTCACTGGGCACACCAGCCTGGATGTCCCCTTGAGAAGGACAAATTGCAACATAAAGAACAAGGTGGGTGTCAAGCTTTGCTTGAGGGCTGAAGAGCAAGGATGCCTTGCAAAGATCCTGACAGGAACAGAGCAGCTCCGCACCAGTCGGTGGCCCTGAGGACACATYGGAGCACCCCAGGCTCTCGCAAGGCTCAGGAGCCCATGGCTGTGCTGCTCTGCACTGTGGTCCTGGGGTATATGAGGAGCTGTTGCATCTGAACCCACCAAGATTAAGAAGGATGTGGGACCATGCCTGCAACCCTCAGGCTCCCTCTCCAAACCACGGCCATTTGTCCATTTTAGAGGCTGCTAATCCAAGCACTGCGGTGAGTGCTCTGTGCGAAGCGACGCTGCCCTGGGACAGTTTATTAGTCTAATAGTCTAAGACTATTTTGGCCTTGCTGTCTCACAAAGTGACCAAGGCATCACGGGACACTTCGGTGGCCCATGCCAGGGGGGTTAATGCCAGTGGGATGGATGGGATGGTTAGTGGTATGAGTGCCGTCCCGCTGGAAATGGAGCGGGCGTCTGTGAGCGGGCACGGCATGGGGTGGAGGGGACGGCACCGGACTTACCTCGTACACCTGGAAAAAAAGGGTTGAGGTCAGCGTAGGGGGAGAAAAACAAAACAAAGCAAGACTTAATCACAYGTCCAGCTCGGAGCTGCCTGGCTGCTGGGAAGCGGCCAGCAAGCCGAGATGTCTGTGGGGCCAGGGCCCAGCATCCCGGATGGCCAGCACCAGCACGGGGTGGAAGACACATGTGGAAAGGCCACGAGGGACCAGGCGTGCAGGGCCAGGGCTGGGTATCTCCTGGGGGAGCTGGAGAAGTCCCAGAGAAGGCCCTGACACAYATCATGATGCACATCCATGGTGGCTACATGCTCCTCACCAGGGGACGGGGGGACTGACATCACGATGTCAACCAAGACGGACAGCGAGCAGCCGGCTCGGGGGCTGAGCCCAGCTGGACCGTGCCAGCAGCTCCCACCACCACCACCACGTATCCCGCCAGCACCTTCTCCAACCCACCCAGCTCTTTTTCTTCTTCTTCTTGGCATCGGCGTCCTTGCTGCTGCCGATGCTGGAGTGGCTGGTGATGCTGTTGAGGCTGGAGATGCTGTCGGACGAGTTCTGCCGCTTGATGCGCAACTCTGGGGCCAGCRAGAGAAGCCAGAGAGACCAAATCARAATCGTCAGCCCATCTGCCCCAGCACTGCAGGAGGTTGCATGCTGCCCCCAGCCCCTTGGTGACCACCGCAATGTCTCCTCCTCCCCGAGGGCTCCCTGCTCCCTCTGGGCCACCCAAGCACCTCCTCAGAGGCACCTTGAAAGACCACGGGGCCTATTCTCTAAGGTGTGGGGCACCCTGCAGGCTGCCAGGCCTCACCTTTGGGCGTGACGTCGGTGCCATTCAGGGCCCCTTGGATGACGGCTTGGGCCTCCGAATTCTTCTTCTTCAGGAAGTCGATGGTCTCCCGCAAGTCCAGCAGCTCTGTGTCCTGGGGAGGTGGAAGGAGCAGCCATGGAGCGCATCCCGCCAGCGCGGGGCCCCAGGGCGCRTGCCTGGCTGCATCCCCAGCCCCACGACCACCCTCTCGTAATGGATGTGAAATCTCGGCCCCGCCGGTGCCACCCCAGTGCCCACGCAGGGTCCCCCAATGGCACCCACCTTCTCCTCGGCAGTCTCGGCCAGGTGCCGCAGGCGGGACGTCATGCTCACCAGGCTCTGTTCGAAAGCTGCAACCAGGTTGGCCTGGAGAGAAAGGGAGAAGGGTGAGCACCCACTGCCAGGGGAGCACCCAGTGCTGGGTGGCTTTGCTGAGAGCCCCGGAGTCACTTGGCCAGGGACACAGGGGTCTGGAAAAGGGGTTTCTCTTGATGRGGAAGAGAAAAAAAGTAGAAGATGACGGGAACTGGTAGAAGAAAGACACTTTGTGCACAGGCAGTGTGACGGGATCCACCCAGGAAGCTCTACAAGATGATGCCCTCCACAATTTGCTCCCAGCATCAGGCCCCAAGTCCAGAGCAAGGAGCACCGCGGGGTGGCCCCCGAGGGAGCCCCATGTGCCGCAGAGCAGCCTGTCCCTCATGCAGCATTGAACAGAGCGCGCGGAGCAGGAGACAGGGACGCAAGGCTGGGGGGACTCACGTTGGCCGACAGCTGGGACGTCAGGGTGGCCACCTTCTCCTGCGAGGACTCCAGCTCACGGCGCAGCTTGCGGATTTGCTGCGGGGGAAGAGCAGAGGGGGTGAGCGGGGCCGGGCAGCGGGCGCGYGGCGGCGGCAGGGCTGGGCGGCGAGCAAGGGCGCGGGCTCACCTCCGACTGCATCTTCTCCTCAGCCTGGCGGCGCGAGGGCRGAGAGAGACACAGAGGCGGGCAGTGAGGAGGGCAGCGAGGCGAGGCAAGGCGCGCGCGGGCCCGGCGCGAGGCACAGCCATGCACAGAGCCCCCCGCGCCGCCCCCCGCCGCCCCGGCCCCCAGCCATGCACGAGGGGCTGCAGCCCGGCAAGGGTCTCCTGCGCGGAGGTGACGCTTACGGAGGAGTAGGTGGAAGAAGCGCTCGACGCCAGGGACAGCACCGATCCGTGAACTGCAACAGAGAGGGAGAGGCTGCGTCAGGCTGCCCCTGGAGCGGCAGGGCCGCGCGGTCCACAGGGCATCACCGCAGGGCACGGACCGGCTGGCAAAGGGGCTGTGCGGGGAGGCAGCGACACAGGAGAAGCCGAGGGGAGGGATGGCGGCTGCACAGCACTGCGCTCGGCCGGCGAGCTCCCCGCGCGCTCCCTGCACTTGCAGACCGCACTGGGAGCCCCCTCGCTCGGCACCCTCCTCTCTGGCTGAGCCTGGGGGCTTGGCCACCCTCCCTGGCTGAGGGATCCCCTCTCCCTGAGGCCACTGGTGCCAACGCAGGGACACTGGGCACTGCCGGGCTCCCGTCAGGGCTTGGCACTCGCGCAGCTCAGAGCTGGTGGGGACCTCGGGCTCTGCACTCAGCCCCTCCGGGCTGGCGTCGCCRTGCAGCGGGACGAGGATCGCACGCAGCACCCCAGCCGCGAGGCGGGAGCCCGGGCACCGCGCCGCTCGCAGCTCCCGCTCACCGTCGTCCACGGGGTCCCGGAAGGAGCCCGAGCGGATCATGCCCTTGGGCTTGTCTGCCAGGGAGAGGGTGCTGCCCATCTGGGATGTGCTGTACAGCTCAAAGGTGGAGTCRTGGGTGGGGATGCTGTTGGAGCGGGTGATCCGCGGGGTGGTGGCAGCAGTGGGGCTCACTGCAAGGAGAAGGCAGGGGAGAAGCAGGGTGAGAGTCACAGCGGTCCCTGGGCTGGGCCCAGCGACCGAGGTGGGGAGAGCCAGGGCAGGAGCGATCCACAGGGGCCAGGAGAGGGAAAAGAAGCAGCGATCCTAGTCCCAAAGCAGCAGGACTGGAGGAGAGCCAACCCGAGGGTGGATCAGAGTCCTGAGGCTGGGCCAGACAACCTGGTGCAGAGGTGACAGACACCCGCCAAGTCCCCAAGCCGCAAGCCAGCAGCTTGGTGGGGCCAAAGATGCCAGACACCAAGCGCCAGGGCTGCTGGGGCCATCAAGGAGTGGAGAAAAGCAGCTGCCACAACCACATGAGCAATTAGTTGCAGGTGCCACTACCCTGTGGCCACCCCAACGGCAGCACAAGGCTCCAGGGCCAGGTGCTGGCACCACTCTCCATGCCCCACAGAGAGCCAGGGCACACTGGGRGGCAGCCGGGATGCACTGGGGTGTCATCAGTGGGGCACAGGAGGAGGGCACTGACCGATGCTGGTGAGCGGGCCCTTCCCGACRAGCGGCACGGAGAGGGCAGGGGGTGAGGGCATCTCCGGCTGGTCATCCGATTCGGGCAGCCCGCCGATGGAGTGGGAATGGCGCCGCTCCTTGGCCTCCTCCTGGGAGTGGAGCTGGTACCTGTGGGGAAGGAGAGACGGGTGCAGTGAGGCACCGTCCCCAGGGCACATCCCTCCCGGCACCCAGGACACCGCCGGCCCCGTGCTCCGGCAGAAGAGCTGCAGGCACCCAGCGCCTCCCCAGCACCACCCTGCCCCCCTCCGGGATCCGGGGTCCTTTACCTCAGCCCTTTCTTGGGCAGCGTGTTCCTGTCGCGGTTGGTGCTGGAAGAGAAGAGCAGAGAGCAGTCACAGCCCCGCGCAGCGGGAAGGCAGGTGCCGCACGGCAGCRTCCTCAGGGCCATGCTGTGAGTCGTGAGGACAGAAAGGTGGCTCGTCCCCCAATGCACCAAGGCCAGAGCCTCTGAGCAGGACCAAGGCCACGGCAGGGAGGCTGCAAAGAGCTGGGCCCCCTGCCCTCCCTCCAGCCCTACCTGTCCAGATGCGCAAGCCGGGGGCTCCCGCTCCAGCCCAGCTCACCAGCCTCTTCCTCTCCCTCTGCGCTGGCAGGGGGGGCAGCAGCAGCGGTGGGGGCAGGGGTGCTGCCCCCCGAAAAGGCACTGGGCAGGCTCATGGGCATCTGCAGGGACTCCATGCTGCGGTGCAGGCCCGAGAGCTTGGGGTACATCCTGCCCTCCTTGGGGACGCTGAAGCCGCCCATGAGCTCCAGGCCCTGGGAGAAGCTGGCCGAGTTGATGTTGAGGATGGGGGCAGGACTGGGGCTGAAGCAGGGTGTGAGGTGCCCGCCGGCTGGGTGCAGCTCCTGGAGCTTGGCAGTGTGCGGGGGGTGCAGCTCGCTGGAGGAGGGCAAGTCCAGGCTGTTGGAGTTGACCTTGTCCAAGTTGGCCAGCGAGGGAGGCTTCACGTAGGTCTTGGCTGCCGTTCTGGGGGCAAAAAGAGTGTTACTGGGGACAGGCACGACGCAGGTGCGGGCACAGCTGTGCAAGGCACCTCCTCTCCTTGGAGGACGTCCTACCTGAGCGGCGTGGGGGGCAACTCGGCCACCTTGGCCACTGGCTGGAGGTTGGCCTGGGCCTTGGGGGTGCTCTCRGGCGAGCCGATGCTCTTCAGGGTCACGCACTCGGAGTCGAGCGCCACAGCCTTGGCCTTGGCCTTCTCCTTCTCGCGGTCCGTCTGGTTGACAGGGGCCGGCGCGCCACGGCCCGCACCGATCTTGCTCGGCTCCTTGAGCCGCGACACCGAGATGCTGCTCTGCTTGGTGCTGAGCARGCTGGGGTCGATGCTGCTGCTGACSGGGCGGCTCGCACTGCGGCCGCCCGTCACGCTCATCGAGCTCGACTTGGCCGGCCGAGGAAGGCTCCGGTACTGGATGTTGGAACGGGCTCCTGGGGCCAGGAAGCCGGGTTCGGCTGCATTGGAGACATCCAGGCTCGTTTTTCTCCCACTGACTGGCTTGACGGGAATGCCAGAGCTCTTCTGGATCTTGCCCAAGGTGGCTGAGCCCCCGGCTTGCATGACGGTGGCAGTGCCGGTGGCGGGAGCTGGTTTCTTATAGCCGAAGGAGCTGGAGGCGGAGGGGCGCGTGAGGCCCGAGGGCGGCTTCTTGGCGTCGGCAACGCGGTCGCGACCGGCGTCGGAGGAGGAACGCTGCAGACCCGTGTTCTTCACGGACAGCTTGCTCTTGTCAGTGGCTTTGGTCTCGGGTTTGCCTAGTGGGCAGGGAAGTAAGGATCAGTGTCCCAGGAGCAGAGGAGGCTTGGGGGATGTGTGGGTTCAAAGCAGGCCAGATCTCACAGCAACGCTGGAGATGGAGGAGATGGGGTGGAGAGGAAGGGAGCACTGCCCCCAAGTACAGGGGCAGAACAAGGCCAAGACCCRATGTAGTGACACACTCCAGCACAGGGCAGACACAGCCCTGGAGAAGCAGGGCTTGGCCAAGGGGCCACCAAACGCCTACTTAAAGGATCCTACTTAAAGGAAGGACCCATCATGGGTGTGATTCAGTTGCTTGCACAGATGCACCACCAAGATGCGTCAGGTGTCCCCAGGATGTCCCCAAGTGCAGATCTGAGAGCCTCCAGGAACATCAGGCCAGTGAGTGCCGGTCCCACAATCTTGCCTGTGGGGGTGCCAAAGACCTCCCGACCAGCCTCTGCTCCAGCCCATTTTGGTCTGAGCCCAGCCGAGGTCCCCATCGTCTTTCCCGTGGCCAACACACCCAAACAGGTTCATGAAGACAACAAAACCTCTCCCTACCAGAGGAGACCCTCCCCAAGCCCAGGCTCACCTGCCACTTTGAGGGTGCTCTGGGCTGTGTGGGTGATGGGGGATGTCACTGCCACCGGGGGGGTCTTGCCCTTCTTGAGGGAGCCTGGSGTGCCCAGGCTAACAGGCTTCTTCAGCTCGCCGCCCTTGGGCGCCTCCTCGCAGCTCTCCGAGGGCTCCCGCCGCCACTTGGAGGAGCCGTGCTCCATCTTGAGGCTGCTGCTCTCGTAATCCAGCTTCTTGGGGGCCTTGTCGTCCGCGTCGCCGTACCAGCTGAGCCCGCTCTCCACCAGCGAGCGCTTCTCCGAGTCCGTGCGCAGCTGCGGGAAGAGCGGGAGTCAGCAACGCTCCTGGCCCCGACCTCCAAGGGCTCCACACCAGGGAAAAGGGAGACACAGGACACCCAAGGGTGCTCGAGCTCTGCTCAATCACTGCACCCCAGTCCGCACCGTGTCTTGCTCTCCCCACACAGCACCCCAGGATGAGAAGGGGAGGCAGGCGACCCTCCAACCTCCGCTCTCTCCAACAGGCTCGGCGGGACGCAGGGCGCCGAGCTCCGCGGCCGGGACGAGGCACCTACCGCTATGGCCGAGTTCCTGCGCGACGCCGTGGGCGTGGAGGGCAGGGAGTTGAGCGAGGAGCTGGCGTTGAACTCCTCCGAGCTGAGGTTGTCGGAGGCATCGCTGAGGCCGCTGCTGATGGAGCTGCTCTCATCCCAGCTGCGAGGGGAGACGCGGTGTGAGACCCTCTTGCCCACGCACGCCCCAGGCCGGGGCAGAGCTGCGTGGGCGCATCCTGCCACCCGTCAGCACTTCCCCAACAGTCCCACAGCACCCGATGAGGCTGCCCAGGCCGCGCGGCAGCTCCGGGCCCCCCGTGGGTCAGCGCCCGCTGCAGGGACGTGGCTGGGAGCCGGCGCTTGGCAGCCGACACTGGCTCCGTCCCAGCCTCATGTGGCTTCCCAGCCCGGCCAGCACGTGAGACGTGATCCAGTCTGCCCTGCTAGGGCACCCAAGGGTGCTGGGCGCTGGGGGAACAGCCTGGCCATGCTGCTCCGGGGCCGCACRCTCAGGGCCGGCCATGCAAGTCCCGCCAGCGAGCCAGGTCACACGGGACACGAGCCCCAGCAGGCAGCAGAAAGCAGCAGAAAGCGGGACCCAGGCCCGTGCGGAGGCTCCGCTCACCGCTCGGGTGCAGCTCGTTTCCTAGCATGAAGGCCAAATAAACAGGGCAGCCGCGGAGCTCCCCGTGCGGAGGCGGCTTCGCGGAAAGGGCAGGGACGGGCAGCCTCCCCTCGGCCGCCGGCCCGGGGCCTCCACCCTCCCTCAGGCGGCTCCCACCCCGYGGCTGCATCCCAGTTTTTGGCAGGGCTCTGGCTCAGGAGACGTGCGTAGGGGATGAGCATCCCCACGCAGGGGACGAGCAGCTCCTGCGGACACAGCCGCGTAGGAGACCTTGGGGAAGGTCAGGGCGCTCAGCGGGACGTGGCCTGGGCGCTCCCCAGCAGCTCCCAACGAGGGCACCTCTGTGCACCGCGGCAGCCGCTCAGGCGGCCCCGCATCTCCGGGCACATCGGTGAGGGCCGTGGGGACGGCAGCCGCCCATGGGTCCCGCGGGGCTGCGTTCCCTGGGGCGAGGCGCTGCAGACGGGCGCCCAGTGTCTCCCAGCAGGATGTGCACAGCCCCGTTCAGGTCAGCGCCTGAGTAGGTCAGTGAGGCCCCGAAGGGGCGTCACAGCGGAGGAAGGGGACTGGAAGGACAAGCGGTGGGAGCAGGAGGGACATGGTTTGTTCTGCTCTCTGCACTCGTCTCGAGGGACATCAGGCTGGAGGTGGCAGCGAGGTGAGCAGCTCTTTGCCAAAGGCAGCAGGCACAGGGACGAGCAGTGTCCAGGCCCGGGTGCCGCGCAGGAGAGCTGCATTTCGCCAAGGCGGAGGTGTGGGGCCACGAGGAGGACGAGGGCTCCGCGCTGCAATCCTGCCCGTCCTCGGCGCSTGCCAGGGCTGAGCGCAGCACTCCGGCCCCGGCACACGTGGACGCTACTCCCGGAGCAGGGAGGTGCACAGGCTGATCCCAGGCTCGTGCCTGCGGTTCGGCCGGCCTCGCAGCGAGCGGGGCTGCTCCAGCCACGACGAAGCCCAGGGAAGGAGGGATTGAGGGAGGTGCTGCAGGACCATCTGAASAGCCCCACATCTCCCTTTTGCCAGTCATGAGGGACCGACCGAAGCCAGGACGGTGCCAGCAGCCCTGCAGAGGGTGAAACCCCACAGAGGATCGTCGCTTGCCAAGGCCCCGCTCGCATAGATGCCTCTCAGTGCAGACACGCTCATGTCCTCACATGCCCACCGGTGCCCATGGCCACGGCCAGGGCAGGCGCTAGCCAAGCCCAGGGCAGGTCCCCACTCCCCGTGGCCCAGCAGCGCAGCCCTAGCACCCTACTTGGGTCACAGGTCCCCTGGACGTTTGTGTCACCTCCCCACAGTCAAGATCGCTCCCCAGCGCTACAAGGCACAGGGCAGCACTGGTGCCTGCAGAGCGCGGGGAAGCGGGCGCAGCRCCGCGCGCTCCAGCACGGTGCGACRGAGCTCGGAGCTCCGCAGCCGCCCTCCACGCACCGGCAGCACGGGAGCGCTGCCGCCCGGGGGCTGCTCTCCACGCGCCCGCTGGGATGCAGAGACCCCGGGATGCAGGAGGCAGCGCAGAGCCCGGTGAGCAGCGCAGAGCCACGGGGCCGGGCGGCACAGGCAGCCGCCCCGCAAACCAGCCCCCGCGAGACATTTCGGGGTCCCCCCGCGAGACATTTCGGGGTCGCGCGGGCTGCCCCCCCGCGCGGGCTCGGCGCCGCTCCAG